AGTTTAGTATCATATTCAACGAGTGCTGCAATGGTCAAGCTTTCAATATTCTAAGGAGAGATTACAGGTTCAAATCTCCTCTTTATTTCATTTAATTTTGGTAAAAATTGTAGAATTAAAAATATTTCACAATAAAATTGGTGGAAAAGAGAATCAAAATTGAGACTTCCCATATAAATATACAAGCTCTAACCAAATGAGCTACAAGCAACCTCCATTAACTCCTATAACTCCCTACGACTCCCATGACTTTTGTCAAGTAATTGGGAGAGAGAAAATATGGCAAGAAATTAAGGTCCTGTTTGATAGGGCAATTTTCCATGGAAGATGGAAATTTTTTTTGCCATTTTTCACTTTTTAGAGTGTTTGATAGAAAACATTTCCCAAATAATTGGTTTTCCACTTTTTCTTGGTTTGCCACATTTTCTTGCTTTTTGGGTAAATCAATTCTCACCACTTTGGTGGGAATTGGTTTTCTAGGTAGTTTTTTTTTTTTATTTTTTTTTGCTAATGAAAATAAATTATATCTCCAATTGTAACAAATTATATCCATTTAATGGAAAATTTTCATAAAAATAAAACTAAACGAATATCAAAAGATCCAAAATTTCAATATTTTCATAGTGAAAAATTATACCAATTAAGCACAACTAATTGACAATTCTCAATAAAACAAGTTCTATGCAATTCAATTCCATTGAATTCATTTTCTTTCCACCAAATTCTATTCTTGCAATCAAACGAACCCTAAGTAAAATTCATATGAAAAATCACACATAGTTAGAAAATTACCTAGAACCACATATTTGACATGAAAACTCACAAAATTCATTTAGGTTGTGGATAATAATCCCCTTCCATTTTGATCGGAATTGAAATCATTGGAGTACAAGAAAATATAAAATTTGTACTTGAAAAGAAAGGTAAACCAGTCATACAAAAAGATCTTGAAATTCTTCTTTAAAGTAAGAATCTTGACCATAAATTTATGTTAAAGCATTACGCAATTTCTTCCGAATGGAAAATTTTAATATGTGAATAATGTCATATGAATAAAATCTTGAATAATTTTGATATTTTAATAACTCTTT